TCGAGAAAGTTTTCGAAACTTTCTCCTTTTACCGTTCCAACGAAAAATTCTTCGATTTAGATATTTATTTTTAATCGTTGAATCCTAAGTACATATCGTTTTTTCTATGTTAATTATCTGCAATCTGTATAATGAGACAATACAAGCAAATGTTTCAATGGAAGTTCATTGAAAGAAAAAAAGGAGAACTGCTTTACGTTCGAACTGGTTCAACCGGTACCATTTGTATCGTTATGAATACTTTTAATTTTTCCTCGACAGTGGACTCTCGAGAGCGTTCGAAAATAACGTTTCGTTCGTAAGTACGAGTTTCCATGAAACCGTGTAACTATCCAGCGAAGTGAAAATGAAATAGGTTATCAGGAAATGAAAATTCACGTTGCGTAAAAAAAATTAACGAGCACGCTGTATTTGTAAATATGTGATGCGCATCGTTTTCAATGCTATCCTACGTTTCGGCCTCATAAACAAGTATCAGCGCACCAAATTAAACGGACTTGTAAGTTGTCGCCGCATGTGCGCAAAAATAGCCCTGTAGAAACTGCAGCGAACGTTTCTCGATGATATATTGGCCACGTACTGTAAGAGTTTAATATGTCCACAGGCGTTTTTATCGCGTATTACGTGATTTTGGTAACAATACCGGAACAGAATTTATCGTTTATCTGGTTGAACAACGAAACGCCGCGATGATGGAATTCAAACTGGGATGCCGCGAGATTTGAACACCCACGTTGGTCGTGTGTGAAATCTCGCAGCGTTTCGAACGAAAACGAATATATTACACTTGCATTTCACCGATACACCGATCACCGATCCAATTACATCGACCGAGAGAAAAGTCAATTTTCGTTACGCTTTCTTCCTTGATTTTCGATCGATCTATGTCAAGAACGAGACGATATTTCATGGACATTGTTGTTCGTAAAGAATTAATAGAAAAAATGAGGGAATTAAACGAGAAAATTTTTTCGAAATCGTACGTTTTTTTGTCAATTTCAAACGAAACAAGTCAAGTTTGCCAAATGTACGATCGATCAATTCTCAGTTGGATCAGTGTCAAGAGAAGAGATCTATGCAGTTCAGTTTTCCGCTTGCTCACCTTTGCTGGCCGAGCGTCGTTTCGCTCGACGTTCACACGTTTTTAGATTCTGTTTTTCTCGATGAGCTAGCTGCCTTCGATGCGTGCCACGAACAAAGATCGACCGCGAAACGGAACGAGACAGAACGAAATAGCCGACGATGATGGTACACGTACACGTAGGACAAAGAGAGGTGGCCTCACGCGTCCTTTCCTGCCCGTAACTTTTCTGCCTCACGGTAAAAAACCGTGATTTCGACCACGAGTCTAACCTTTCGCCTTAACTTACACGAAACTGATTCTCTATCGTTCGCGATACCTCGGATATGCACGTTGGTTGATCGACTATCTGTCGTTTATCTCGGTGCAAGCGATAGACAGCGCATCGCAGAGTATACTGGTATGACTATTTGTACAAAGTTCACACGATCCAAATTCTTTCACATCATACCACTCGCCTCGGTGGCAGTGCGTTACTGTAGCGTGTGACGTGACACATGGCCATCGGGAATGCAGTTTCACAGAGATCGTACACTTCACGTATGATTTCGGAATCTGCGTCGCGTGGAAGTAGTAGCCTGTTGACTGTTCGTCGATAATGTGGGAATCTACGGTAGCTTATGTACTTGATATCGGATAAGATAACTGTAGCACAGGGTAGACGTAACACTTGATGCATTTTTTTGTCCACGTCGAGAGGGCACAGAGTGCCCTTACCATTCTCGTGTCGGCTGCTACGTTACCGACTTAGTAGTAGAACAAGGTTGCAACATTAGCAGTGATTGGAATTAGAACTGAATGTAACTAAGAAGTTACAAATAAGAAAGTAATCTAATTGTTTATTAGTAGATTATTAATCACATACGCGTGTTCTACCGCTGTCAGGAGATTGTGAACAATTCTATCCACGCAATTCAATATATGTATTTTTCTTTACATGCAGATTTAACAAAAGAGGGTCTTTTAGATCTATCGATTTTACCATCATTGACTGTTGGATTGTACGTAATTCCTAAATTCACCGATTTTTTACACGATCGGTATTTCAGAACGTTGGACAAGAAAGTGCATTAGATGCAAGGTCTATCCTGTACTTCGTCTATGGTATAAATTATGACAGGGGCTGTTTGCGGGGCGGAAGGGACAATTAACGGTACGGTAGCGGCGGGAACTAGAATAATTGAAATAGTTGCGTAGATAAGCTAGGAATTAGATGAAATTTTATTAGAATAATTATCATATTATTCGAATATAAAATATCGTTACAACAATTTTATAACAGTTTCTTTGGTAGATTTTCTTCGACAAGTTCACATTTGAAATTCGTAATTCAGATAGACAGTTTTGCTCGATATAATTTCCGATAAATCTAACGCAGCCAATCCATCCAGAATGCAACCGTATATTCGTCACGTTATCATCAGTATCCTTATCATCGTCAGCTAATCGAAGTAACGTGTATCAATGAGAATCCGTTCATTTCTGTAAACTTTATTTATTTCCTAAATACAAAACTATTGTACTATATCACAATAAACTATAATACATGTGTACGGGGGAAATGATGCAGCTCGGGCCTTAGTATAAATTACTATTCGGTAAAAACGTTACAACAGATCGATCTCGTTGATAGCAATTCTCTAAAATTTCTAGAAAATTGAATTTTTTTGCAAAATTCATACGATCCACGGAACAAAAGAAAGAAAGAAAAAAAAAAAGAAGAAAAATAAAGGGAGAAATGGTACGCGTGATACTTTGTTGCTTTCTTGTTCGCGAGTATATAAGACTTAACATCGATTTAAGGTTAATATCGAACACAAGATGAAACTTATGTCTCGGTCGTAACAAGAGTTGCATTTTACGTAACTATGATTAAAAGCACGTCAACGTCGTCTCGTCTGTGAAATTTCTCTCTGTCTCTCTCTCTCTCTCTCTCTCTTCTCTTCGTTCATTTCACGGTATTATCGCGATGGTTGGGAAGAAAAAAAAAAAGTAAAATGTGTGTGTGTGTATGCAAGTAGCATTTCGTAATACTGATACGCCTGAACAGAATTTATCGACAATCTGTTCCACATTCGTATATTGTTTACCATTTATTTATTAAGTACCGGAGACTATTTGTACTAGGGCTTGAAATAAAGGATACCTATTGCCGTGAATAAAGTTCATGTCTTTTCCTGTTCTGTTCTGTTGTCGTTCTTTTTTTTCCTTTTTCGTTTTCTCGTCATTGCAAATTGGAGTCGATGGAGAAGTTATCCTTTATTCGAAACGTTTTGTTCTCTCGAGTCGGAGTAAGTGGTGTGACTTCGTCTGCTATTTAAGATTTCGGCGCTTGTCTCAGTGTTAGTTTGTTTTGATTTCGATTCGAATGTACCAAAGTGAAAAGTATGATCAGTTATCGAAATGTTTCTTTATACTTCGTTTCATACTTTGTACATTGAAAAATGTTCGCACGTAGAAAAAAAAAGGAGTATCGCCTGTTTCGGTGCGACTGTTCGTTAATAAGTTGTCTCAGCGTGAATAATTCTTACATCTATCTTCATCGACCTCTCTCATTTTTGTCGTACACTCGTCGTTTGTTAGGCGTTCTTCTTCGGATTCTTTTTGCTCTTCTTGTTGATAGAAAAAAAAAAAAAAAATTACGTATTCTCGGGCGAAGCGTGCGTTACAATTGTTCGGATTCGAAGGCCGCGTTCGTGACGCCGTTCATCGTAGGAGCTTCCGGTTTCTTCTCGCCGGCGATCTCCTTCATCCTCGTCTTCTTCTCTTGCTCCAGCTGCTGACGATCTTTCCTGTGCTCTGTGTATAACCAGCTGTTCGTGGAAAAATTCACGTTGTTAATTAACGTTAACAATGTTCATTCGTTTATTGAATATTTCTCTTCGGTGAAATGCTTGGTAGGGTTATCGAAGTGACGAGAAAATCTATGTAGAAGAAATTGTGGTCGTAGTATCGAACCCCTTGACACTCACATTTCTCTTAGTTTGATGTGCCGTGTAAGATCAATTTTATCTTTCTTTGAATTATTTTACAGTAATGTGGAAAGTGAAAGAAAATAATTAAAGAATAGTGAACGTTAAGAAGTTAAAGCATCGTTTATTCTTTATTTATTTATTAAAAAATAGAAACTCTGTAATCTCTATTCTTTATTTTTCATTTATTTATCAGAAAATAGAAATTCTGCTCTCTCTATTCTTTATTTTTCATTTATTTATCAAAAAATAGAAATTCTGCTCTCCCTATTCTTTATTTTTCATTTATTTATCAAAAAATAGAAATTCTGTCCTCCCTATTCTTTATTTTTCATATATTTATCAAAATATAGAAACTCTGTCCTCTCTATCCTTTATTTTTCATTTATTTATCAAAGAATAGAAATTCTGCTCTCTCTATCCTTTATTTTTCATTAATTTATCAAAGAATAGAAATTCTGCTCTCTCTATCTTTTATTTTTCATTTATTTTTCAGAAAATAGAAACTCTGTCCTCCCTATTCTTTATTTTTCATTTATTTATCAAAGAATAGAAACTCTGCTCTCTCTATCTTTTATTTTTCATTTATTTATCAGAAAATAGAAACTCTGTCCTCCCTATTCTTTATTTTTCATTTATTTATCAAAGAATAGAAATTCTGTCCTCCCTATTTTTTATTTTTCATTTATTTATCAGAAAATCGAAACTCTGTCCTCTCTATTCTCTATTTATTTACGAAAAGATAGAAATTCCGTTCTCGTCACTTCAACCTAAGAGAAAACCGAAACGGTCGCCATGGCGATACTATGAATGGCGCGCCGGAAACGGAAGAACTTACAAGAACGCAACAACGGCCGGCATTGTCATGCAAGCACCGACAATGAAGAACGTCCCCGGAAAAGTTTTCATGGTTGTAGCGTAGATGGAACTGTACATAGGCCCGTAGATCAGTGGCATTAACGATTCACAGACGCCTAGTAACGAGTTCACTTTGCCTAAGAAGAATTAAAACAAATCAGCCTAAATATTACAACAATCCTTGTTCCAACATATAAACCGTATCACGATTAACCGTATCAACGTTGCAATTTACTATGTAAGATCTAGTAACAGGGTTTTGAAAGAAACGAAAACTAAGATAACGATCTACGAGACTTAAATAGGTTGTTAACTAGAGGTAGGAAAACGTTTTAAACGAAAGGAAAGCTCGTGGGAAATTGGTTGGACATGGTGTCGACTTGTTTAAAGACACAATCAAACAGGATTATCTTATTTGCGTGGTTCTGAGAAAACGAGCGAAGGTAAACGCTTTTCAGAATGATCCCACTAGGTCGAAGGACACTTGTCACGCTGGACCAACTTCGTTTTTAATTCGTATCGCTCTGTTTTAAGCGCTCGCGTGTGTATCGATGTACCGAGTGTTCCAATTGCGATAAACTTTCGTTAATTACTTTTCTCCATTTTATATCCGAATAGCGAACGTAAGTTCGTGTTGAACGCGAGAAATATTTTAACGAATGTCCAAGGAAATTCTACAGCGAAGATATAATAGTCTTATAAAAAAAAGGCAAAAATAGGGAAAAGTTGTGCAACGAGAAGGCACTTAAGTATTTCTTTACCAAATTTAGAGGTTTGATAGAAATATCGATCTAAATTATAAAATTTGAAGCGCAAGCTTTCGTAATTTACTTTCCCTCGTTTTGTCGAAAACGAAAAATATTTTAATGAAAATCCAAGGAAATTCTATAATGGTCTTACAAAAAAAATAGGGGAAAGTTGTGCAACGAGAAGGCACCTAAGTATTTTTTTACCAAATTTAGAGGTTTGATAGAAATATCGATCTAAATTATAAAATTTGAAGCGCAAGCTTTCGTAATTTACTTTCCCTCGTTTTGTCGAAAGCGAAAAATATTTTAATGAAAATCCAAGGAAATTCTATAATGCTCTTACAAAAAAAATAGGGAAAAGTGCAACGAGAAGGCACCTAAGTATTTTTTTACCAAATTTAAGATTGAGAATTTTACCTAGAAACATCGATCCAAATTCCAAACTTTGTTAAAAATACTGATCGAAATAACAAAATTCGATACGAATTCACATCATGACCCAGTGTATCTATAATTTTTCAAACCGCTTGCAAAAATTACTTCTGTTACGTGCATCATTCACGATCATTTCACGAATACGTTATGTAAACCATGCTCGGATATTCCATTAATTACATAAACGAAGATCCTCTATACGTATCTACATATTCTCCACGCAACGGTACCTGTTACACGTCCACAGAAAAGAAGAGAAACCGAAGAAAAATCCGCATCCACTTACCAAGCTCGTCTGTTGATACAAGTTTAGATGCTATCGATCGCATCGCTATAAACGACGTTCCATTCACGATCTCGACGATAGCCGCTGAAAAAAGAAACGCACGCGAACAATATGTGATTTTCCATTCTTGACAAACCACCTCGCTCTATACGTCGTTCAAAATAAGAGTAACCTCGCTCTCGGACCGATTCTCGCCCGTTCTGCGCAGAGGGTAAGACGGAGGAAAACGCGGGTGGTTAATCGGTGGTTCTAGCCCTGCCTTAGGCACGTCCCACGCGAGGTTACTCTCATTTTGAACAGAGTACACAATTTCCTTTCACCGATACTCACCCACGTAAATCATCCAATCCGTGATAGCGAACGCGTAAACGAAACCAGCTAAAATTTTACTCATAGAGCTCATTATTCCCACGATCGCGTCGTCGATCTTTAAAATATGACTGAACACACCCACAGACACTGCAGTTCCTATAAAAGAAAAACGAATCGAGATTGTGACGTCGAGAAACGTGATCAAACTCATCCTCACGTACAGATTTCAAATTGTCTCTTTCGCCATCGTTGCAACTTTCTGTTAGAATTGTTAGGAAACTCTGAACGATTAATAGCAATTTTTGCTCGACGCAAGTAGATACATCTTCCAACTTTCAATCCTTCTCCAAGGATACAGAATTGCGAGTCTCGGTTTAATCGTCCGTCAGATCGACGCACTTTGTCTATACTAATTCTCGTTTCAACAACGACCTCGTGCCTATGGGTTTCCCTCGGTTTACTCGAAAACGATGACCGGCAATTCCGCCTGGCAACAATACATTATGCAACCGCCGCTTTCGTGGATTGATTAGGTAAAAAAGGTGATCGTTGAATGGCGTACGAGTTGTACGCGGTTCGTTCGAGGTCTTTGGCGAGTAAAAAATTTGAGAAAAAGCAGAGAAAGAGAATGAAATTAAGCAGTGAAGAATTCGGAGCAGAAACTTGAACCTGCTCGTAAATGTATCTCGAAACTGTCTTTTTTCCAAGGTTCGATTAATTGTTTTTCTTTTTCTTTTTTATAGGAGTTTTATAGAGAAGAAATCTTGCAATCGAAGTTTCTTGTTTCAAGGAATTGCCTTTTTCTTCGATCTTTTCTTCGACCTGTACAGTATTGCACAGGTAACGATGCACTATGGAAACTCACCAAGATGCACGGTGTGCGAAGAAGGACGAGATGTAATCTCTCACGTGTACAAAATGCCAGTCCCTCTGTTACCTCACGTATCGTTTTTTCATTTCGGTTGTAAACACTGGTTTTTGCTCTATGGCACGTGAAAAATCACGTGTAATTTTAGAATCAAATGTCATCGCGGAAATTAACAAGGTAATCTTCTGTCTTTTTCTTCCGTTGAATTTACTGTGATCGTCTTATGTAAAGCAAGGATCGACGATCGATATTCTGTTTTAGCGATAAACAAGAGTAATTACGCGAGATACTTGTTCAACGAGGCCACGCCGAAAGAGGTCCGCGTTAAAAGTTAATGTCAAGGAGGACTGGAGATTCTTTTTATGAGACGCGTTCACTTACCAATTAAATTCGTCACCATGGCGAATGTGGTGAACATGCTGAACATCACCTCGTTCCAATGGTACCTGTATCTCATGTACAGGTACATCACCGCCATTTCACCTGGAATGTAAATTGTTCTCGTTAAATTTTCCATTTGCGTTTGGCTGGTTACTGAAAATTTAGAAATTCGGAATTTTGTTATCGTCAAAATCTGAGTTACGCTTCTTTCTTCGGTGAAAATTGGGAAGAAATGAAAATTGAATCTTGCATCGCTGAAAATTCGAGAGAAACGAAAATTGAGCCTTTCATCGCTGAAAATTCGAAAAAATCGAAATTTTCTTATCGTGGAAAATTGAGTTACGCTTCTTTCTTCGGTGAAAATTGGGAAGAAATGAAAATTGAATCTTGTATCGCTGAAAATTCGAGAGAAACGAAAATTGAGCATTTCATCGCTGAAAATTCGAGAGAAACGAAAATTGAGCCTTTCATCGCTGAAAATTCGAAAAAATGGAAGAAATGAAAATTGAATCTTGCATCGCTGAAAATTCGAGAGAAACGAAAATTGAGCATTTCATCGCTGAAAATTCGAAAAAATCGAAATTTTCTTATCGTGGAGAACTGAGTTACGCTTCTTTCTTCGGTGAAAATTGGGAAGAAATGAAAATTGAACCTTGCATCGCTGAAAATTCGAGAGAAACGAAAATTGAAACTTGCATCGCTGAAAATTCGAGAGAAACGAAAATTGAGCCTTTCATCGCTGAAAATTCGAAAAAAACGAAAATTGAGCCTTTCATCGCTGAAAATTCGAAAAAATCGAAATTTTCTTATCGTGGAGAATTGAGTTACGTTTCTTTCTTCACTGAAAATTCGAAGGAAATGCAAATTAAATCTCTCACGACTGAAAATTCGATAAAATTCAACTTTTCTTATCACAGAAAACTGAATTACGCTTTCTTCACTGAAAATTCGAATATACCCAAATTCTCTTCTCACAGAAAATTGAATCGCGCTTCTATCTTCGCTGAAAATTCAAAAAATAAAACCAGAATTTCCTTATCGTCGAAAACTCAACAGAGAACGAACTCTACTTTTCTCCATTTATGAAAATTCCAATTCCGAGTAAGGAGGCCGAGAATTTCGTTGAAATTACAGAGGCTGTACGTGTCGTAACTTCCAAATAGCGGGTTGCAATGTTCTAAATCCAATGTGGGTTGGAGCGATTCTGCTGGCATGAAAGATCATGGTCAAAACGTTTTTCGAGAATTGGCAGGCTCGCGTCCATCGCTACTTCTGCAATGTTGCCTCCATCGTGCTCGCCACAATGCGTAATGGCTTTCGAATTTAACTTGAAAATGACACGCGGAAGATCACTTAGGGTTAGGCGTTAGAAGAACCTCACGAATCATTCATCGTCCGTGTTCATCAGTTTTTGCTCGAATAAATTATTACCTCGTAAAAGGTAGACACTGTACGAGAAGATAACCAAGTACCATTCTTACCATTCCTCGCAGACTGTCCTTCTCTCTCCGTTCGATTAAATTCGACGGATAAAATCTTGCTAGATCATTTCGAGCATTCGTGTTCCGTGATCGAGCGATAAAATTCGATTGGAAGACCAGCGCAATTAAGTACCATTTCAAAGCACACCGTTTGGAAATCCCGAAAATCATACAACACCAGAGAAACGTTTTAAAAATCCTGATTCAATCTTCACCAGAAGACGATCTAACTCTTTTCTTACATCCTTCGAATCTACGACTTCCAAGAAATTCAGTTTTGTTTCACCATGATTTTTCCCGTCGCGAAACAATTAGGGAACGATTAAAGTTCGGATTTCCAAGCGGATGGAATTTTTATTAGGATGAATCTTCAAGCGTTTAAAATGAGAAGTTTCGATGATTTACGAGCATAAGATAACGACGATTTTGTACCATGTAACGAGTAATAATACGATCACCAATCTACGGAGTTCGCCGTGAAACCGCGTTACACAGGATTCGAGCGATTTCCACGCGTTTCTAGCCGCCATTACATAAGGATACGCACACGGAGTTACGCAAGTTCGTCCATCAGGCTTCCCGTTTAATCGTTTCCGTCGAGTTTAGGCTATTATCACATCATTGTTTTGTTTTTCTTACGATCGTCTCTCCGTTTCGAGACAATTTCTGGATTCCCTCTTTACTATCGATTCGCGTTATCTTGCCGGGATTTAACGCCGTCTAATCGCCGTTCTACCAGCCAAAACACCGCTATGCTATAATTTTGTTATAATTCATATGTAACGACGGAGTACCGAGTGTAATAATATTTTCGCTTTTTAGTTGGTCATGCTGATGGTAACTTTTCGTTGTCAAACACGACACGTCCTTTGTTCCTGAGAAAATTCTAGGGATCTACAGTGCTTGATAAAAAAAACTGCAATGCCTTAAAAATGAAATTGCACAAATTTGAAATTTACGCGTATCGCTTGGGCTGTTGAAAGAGAAAGATGATTCAAATTTGGTTAGAGGTTTTTTATTAAAGTATAAACGAAGGTTCGAGGGTTATTTATTGAAAAATTTAAATTGTAATTTGAATTCTAGGTTTTGCAATATTTTTCGCGAGCAGCGTGCTTTTTTCGTTTACCCGAAAGTAGTATATCGAGATATTGAAGGAACGTTTTCGTATCCTTCGACTGCTGCAAGGCTACTTTTTCAGGATGCAAATTTTAAGCCTTCCTTTTGCAGACATACACTACCGGCCAAAAGTTTCGAATCCCCTGCTAATTTACGGTAAAATTGAATCCGCTGCTAATTTTTTATAGATTTGAAATTGATGTTGCGGAGATCGATAGTATTTTACCTTATTTCGATTGATTTGAACGAGGAAAAATTTGTTAAAATATTCTTAAAATTGCTAACTTTATTCTGGAAATTTCTGTATCTGTGATTCCAAACATTTGGCCGGTAGCGTATAACAGAGAGAAGAGAAAAAGACGAGGTGAATATGCAAAAACATTTGGCGTACACCATTGGCCTCGTTTTTTCCCACGAAACTTGCCTGTATCTGTGATTCCAAACATTTGGCCGGCAGCGTATAACAGAGAGAAGAGAAAAAGTCGAGGTGAATATGCAAAAACATTTGGCGTACACCATTGGCCTCGTTTTTTCCCACGAAACTTGCAAATGTCGAACGGTGTTTAGGCATTTAACGCAATTTGCACGTCGTGTATAGTCAATTTTTGTGCACTTTGCGGAACTTCTGTTTGTGAATTGCGTTACGAGATCTGCGAGAAGGATTGGCGATTTTCACGTTTTCGATGTATCGATTAGTCCGAGATTAAAATTATCGCAGATGTTAAGTAAATTTGCAGAGCAATTATATAAAGTCACTATGTACACTCGAGGATCGGTCTTGAAGAGAGAAACATTGCTGCGCGATTAGCGATCATCCTCGATGAGTGATTCTAATCGTTGCACTTGCAATTAACTCCCTCCTTACTATTCGACTGGATCGTAGTCTATATTCTCCTGTCGTTAATCTCTTCTGTACTCTCCTGTCTTGAAATTAAAAATTTGTGAATCAAGTAGAGTCTTAGGAAAATGTATCTTTTTATTTTAATCGTTGTTAGTGGATCTGTTGAATAGGTAAATCACACGAAGTAGATCTTACAGAGAAATTTAGTTAGGTGAAAAATGACTTTGATGGTAAAACCTATCCTCTACCCTTTGAATTTTGAGTATTTTTTTATGAGATCGACCAGTGCACCTTTGCAGTGAAAGTTTTGAGAAATAAAAGTTTGAAAATCCAGTGCACTTTTGCAAGGAAACTTTTGAAAATTAAAATCTTGAAAATCCAGTACACTACTTTTGCAGTGAAGCTTTTGGAAACTGAAAAGTTGCAACTGCAGTGCACTTTTGCAGTGAAACTTTTGAGAAATAAAAGCTTGAAACTTCAGTGCACTTTTGCAGTGAAGCTTTTGGAAACTGAAAAGTTGCAACTGCAGTGCACTTTTGCAGTGAAACTTTTGAGAAATAAAAGCTTGAAACTTCAGTGCACTTTTGCAGTGTAACTTTTGAGAAATAAAAATTTTAAACTCCAGTGCACTTTTGCAGTGAAACTTTTGAAAACTAAAAGCTTGAAAATCCAGTGCACTTTTGCAGTGAAACTTTTGGAAATAAAAGCTTGGAACTTCAGTGCACTTTTGCAGTGAAACTTTTGAGAAATAAAAATTTTAAACTCCAGTGCACTTTTGCAGTGAAACTTTTGAAAACTAAAAGCTTGAAAATCCAGTGCACTACTTTTGCAGTGAAACTTTTGAAAACTAAAAGCTTGAAAATCCAGTGCACTTCTGCAGTGAATTTTCTGCAGTTTGTAATAGAGAAAATTCTAAATGTCGAAGAAATTAACCAATGTCTATTTCTTACGTTAATTTGCCAATGGATTTACGGTTTAAACAATGAACTCCGCCGCAGCAGCGTGAGTGGAGCGCAAAGGGTTAAATTATACGTGAACCTTGCGCTCTACCTAAGTGAAAGCAACTCAATCCCGACATACTATAGTAACCCCTTGAACCAGCAGGATTAAACTTATTTCCGACGGTCAAAGATCTGAAATTACATCGGGGTACTTAGGCCATCAGACCGTATTAGCATACGTACGAACAGAATCTAGTTCTAATAGGTGTATTGACTTCGCACATGCACTACCGGTCATAAGTTTGAGGCCGCAGCCTCTATTATCGCGCATTTGCCACTTCCTTAACAATTTCTTTCTCTTCTCTTATAGTATTAGTTCCTGTAATACCAAATCTCCAATTTTCAATCATTCCCAAATTAATTTCTCCAATTACCACTCGAGTGCTGAAAATTTCTCAATTCTTCCTCTTAACTTAAACATCGTACTTGGTAAATTACTAAAATTCAATTCTGAGTAAATTAAAGATTTTCATATCTGATATACCACTTTCACAAACTAATTTCTCAAATCATCCACTCGAGTGCTGAAAATTTCCAAGTTTTCTCGAGCTAACTTAAAATTCATACTTAGTAAATTACTAAAATAAAATTCTTAGCAAACTCCCATTGAGAAATCGCAGAATTTTCATCCCTAATACACGATTTCTTAAGAAATGCAAAATTTTCTGCGACGACAAAGTCAACTCTTGCGGAAACATTAGATTCCCGACGCAACTTCTGGCAATTCAGGACACGGATTCGCGTTACAACAAGAAAACAACGGGTATCGATTGTCGTTCCCGTTCTTTCGATCGTCCTTGCCGTCGTTCACCGCAATCGTAATTAACACCGCAACTTTCGCTGATTAACAGCACGTCCACGCGGTATTCGTGCAGCATGATGCGTGAAGCAATGACGAAAGGGAGTACGTACAACAGCCACTCTTGATTTAATTAGCGTACGACAATTGCACCGTCCAATTACACGATGTTTTGAACGATTGGTACTAATATACCTCGATCGCGTTGGCTGACGTATCGACAGATAAACTCGACTATTATTGTCGATGCTCCAAAGACTTACGTATGTGCATTCAGGCCACTCGAGAAACGAGCTACAAAATTGGACTTTTTTTTTTTTGGAAAATTTAAACTAACTTCTACTTCAGATCTTCCCAAATTTTCACAGAAAAATATTAACCCTTTGCGCTCCAAGCATTTCTCGATAAGATTATTAGTGAAACTTGTAAAAATCCTAACCTACTACTAGTGTGGGTCGTCCTTAGAAGGACTCAGGGTGCCCCAGCTTGTACCCCTATCAGACCAGGTTTCTACTTTCCATCGAAACCACCAACCGAAGAACAAGCCGGAGAATGAGCGAGGACGCCCGACCATGCTTGAACCCCAACTTGGCGGTAAGGATTTTTGCTGTTGGACTTTTACAATTTCTAGACGTTAGTAAGGATGGAACTAACGTCTGTGTGAAATTTCAGCCCGATAACCTAACCTAACCTAACCTAACCCTTTGCGTTCCAAGCATTTCTCGATAAGATTATTAGCGAAACTTGTAAAAATCCAAAGTTTTGTTTCGAAAAATAAAAGCAAAAGATTTTTTAACGCTTACAAATTTACTTAGTTCTATTTCTTATCTTAATTTGCATTATTTTGATCATATATAAAAATACCTGAATTTTACATATTAAAGTTCTCCATGTCGCCATAACAGCGCCATTGGAGTGCAAAGGGTTAAGAATCGTAGGAGATCTGGTACGATAATTCATCAGGATTAAACCGACGTCCAAAAATCGTGTCTCCTCCCAAGAACAGAGGCCAAGCAATTTCAACCAACACCGAATACAGAAGCAAGATAAACCAGTGCAATTTATCATTTCACGTACCTTTACTCGGAACATTGGCAAACGAGGGATTTGAAAAATTGCCAGACAATCTACAGCAGTATACGCATAAGCGTCCGCATTTCTGCACGCTTAAGCGTCCGTTGCTATCCCCAGCAATTGTTGGAAATGGGACTTGGGAGTGGAGTTCGAGGCTGCTGAGTGAAACAAAGTAATTCGGTATCGACTCCTGAATGTGAACAACTGGCACATCTCCTCTAAGCGTCCGCATTCGGTCCCGGCTGATACGTGTGCACTACTGTATTTCCTCAGAGATTCTAGCACACTGGACACAGTCTTCCTTCTTTTTTCCCTCTAATAACTACGAAAGATCGCCGATCGATAAGAGGCTTAATCGCAGCTCTCCTTAACGAGCATAATGTTTCAACTATCTCGCAGGATTTTTTCACGATAGCCCCGAGAGTCCGACACGATACCCGGCGATCAGAAATCTCACGAATATGCACGCCTAATTGTTGGCCTCTGAAAGTCCGGAAGAGGACCATTACGCGAAATTGTTATAAGCCGTACGATTACTCGTTGGCTAAGACTGGATAAAGACGCAACGAAACTTTATAATGTCCGGCGCATTAGCGGTCTAATTAAATTACGGCAAGGACGCTCGCCTTGAATTCTCTGTTGCAATACGAATTCGTGACGCGCTAATAATCCGTAATTGACGGGTACAACTGTATTGTCGCTCGTGATTAGCATCACAACTGTTCGCATGAAACGGGGACGTCAACTTCCTGAATCGTCGTTGAAAAGTGCAGAGAGAAAAAAGAAACTTTCTAAAAACACATGGCTACAGTACGAAGAAGGAATATGATCGAACTACGATGTACGTACGTCTGTTGAGTAGGAAATTGGGCAGAAAAGAATCCTTAAATATTTCTCTCCCCTTGATCTGAAGATGCGTATAAATAGGTACAATCATTTCTTCGTCATCTATTATACACCAATTCTCCTTGATACTTTAGTCATTGAATATCTACGAGTCATGGTTTTGACTTTAGCCAACTTTCGGGGCTCATCTTTCTATTCAGCAACACTTTATTATAACCCACTTCCTATCTGTATCGTTCGTCTGGTCCTCCTACGCGTGTTAAAAAATTCCGCAGCACGGTTTGTCCCATCATGATGTATTATACCACGGTTACTCTTAATTTTCCCTCTAATTCTTAAATCTAATCGCATCCTTATCTCTTCTTTGCGCCTCTCCGTGTTCATTTTCTCAATTGTAGTGTATAATTTTTCCAAGGTTAGGTTAACGTTACCTCGCCTTTTTACCTTATTCATTAGGTCATAACGCGTCTTCGCTATTCTTGCTCATTTCCTGCCACTTTATATCCTTTGTTGTTACACGTTCGCGTGGGTGTAACAAAGACGTTGTTATTATCATTATTGTGTGTCAAAGAATACGTCGAAGATAGCCGAACCCGGTCGACCCTATTCGGGATGAAATTAACGAGCGTGAAAATTTATCGAGAAATTCTGAAATTTCACCGGCGCCCCTGCGCGCTCTATCACAATTTACAAGTTACGCGCGTATCTCCGTTACACGCGTGAAAACACACGCATACTCGTCCAGAAATTACATTCCAACCAGCTACCTATCGATAATTGCAGAGTTACAGCTCGAGGGGTTCGTGCTTTTGCATCCTGAACACCGGTTTCCATCATTTTCATACATCATTCCGGTAGAATTACCGGTAGGAACGCCGCCTGTTACCGCAACGCAACTAGGAAGATCGACGAGAGTTACGTGAAACTGCTTATTCCCACTTTCGCGTTCGTTTGTCGATACGGTGAAACGTGTGTCCGCTGTTTCGCTGGCTAGACGCGTGAATTCTACGGGCGCCGATTTGGAAACCGTGAAAGCGAGGAGGAAACTTCATCTCGAACGGTATTTCAGCGGTTAAAATCGCTCTAATCCGGCTGGTATCGATAAAGAGGGCGAAGGTTAAGTAGGGTGTGCGAGAATTACACGAAAAGAGAAATCGAACGTTGCCTAGCACTTGCTGAGACGAAGGGAAAGGGTAATTACGCGTGATTCTTTTCTCTCTCACTTACGGTTGAAATTCGCCAGACTAGTTAAACTCGTTTGCGCCTCGTTCCAAGTCCGGTCAGGTTGCAGTTTGCAACAGGTCGAAAACTATGCAACAGGTTATGAAATTCAGGTAACGCTAGAGAACTCACCGTAGAGAGGTCCAATGACGACCATAACGATGATCATCAGCACCAGCATCCTCTTCTGTCGATTGTTCCTCCCTGTCTTGAACGCTACTCGAAACGTCTCCTCTATGTGTTTGAACGCGAAGAAATCTAAGATCGACGCGCACACCGACATCTTTTTCTCCTTGCTCTTCTCCTTCTTCAGCAAATGTGGCCTGGGCGGCTCTTTGATCACCACCAAACCGTAAACGAAGCTCAACACGTAGCACACGGTCGAGATGCTGAATACGCCGTAGAAGCCGAGCTTCAGATACAATATCCCGGACAACGCCATACCGATCGGCACTCCTAGCGATAAAAAAACGTTCGCAGCACCGATACGAAGCGTCCTAGACTCCACAGACGTGATATCCGCGATGTAACTGAAAACACCCATGAACATGGTGAACCAACCGCCCATAAGCGCCGGCCACAGTGCCTCGAACACCCCGGTAGCTTCCATCGATACTTCGTAGAAGAAGTACGTGCACAACAGCATACTGACGCTGCTCAGAAATTCACCGACGATCGGCAATAGCATACACGGCTTCCTCAAACCAGTACGATCGCTCCAGGCACCTACGAAGAGGATCAACATCGTCGGCAGACCGCTGGACAGAGCTGTTTTCCACGTCTGCATACCGGCTACTAGCTGTTGAACAGCAGTTTCCTCTGCCTCGTAGCCTGTCGTGTTCCTTTTAGCCAAAGCTGTGCAAACTTCGTCGGGATACGCCAGATTCACTCTACACGCTTTCTCCAAGCTGAGATTCTGCGTGGCTAGGCTAGCTAGCATACACGGGATCACGTAGCAAGCGATCATAGGCTCGACGGTGATGTTGCTGGTGAAGTAGGACCATTTCTGACGGAAAGTCATCGATTTCCAGACGACTGCTTTCTCGGATACGATCTGATTGTTCACGGTTTCTGCTCGTTTCTTGTCCACCACCGTAGGCGGACCATTCACGGTTGTATCAGCCATCCCCAGCAACTTTACGCTGAATTCTACGAGTCACACTTGAGAGTACTCTTCGAATACGAATTCACAGTGATTCCGATCGAACGTTGCTTCGAAAAATTTCTCAATTTTGTTACGATAACGTTTCCCACGAGACTATGTCATTTCCGAATTATCCAAACGGTTAGGATCATAGAGACGTGGCCAGCAGACGGTTTCAACAAGTGGCGAACACTCGTTCTCCAGGGATTTCGTTAAGATTTCGATCCTTCCAGTTGTTCAAATCATACGTCTGACGTACTGCCCCTTCTTTCTCCGAATTCTACCTCTGGACCAGTTCTAGGCGTCCAAGTTCTCCAAACTATTCCTATTCTTCGGTGATGCCGGTTCGTCGGATTTCAGCCGGTCCGCAGGAGAGACCGTCCGACTGTCTACTCCTGGCTAATGCACCATTGTGCATCTTCCTCCACCACCTCGTGTTCCCCCCTCGTGTGTTCTCTATTCGTTACTCCACTACACGTGCGGGGTGCCCGAGGGTACATCCACCTAGCCCGCTAAGTGCTCGACGAAACAACGTCGTCGTCGGCATAGTCATTCTTCGTGCCAATCGTTTCTACAGACAAACAACCGTATTCCGTCGCTTCCGATTCCGCTCTTCGTCGATTTTAGGGTCAAGGTTAGCCCTCGCTGCTACTGTTTTTTCGGGATTTCACGAGGAACTTGATTCTTTTTTTACCGCTTACTGCTTCAAATTTTGGGCATCTTGCGAAGGATCACTGGAGAGGTGTAGGGTGGCGATAGATGGGCTTCTTCTTCTTGAAGAATGTACTAGGGTAGCTTTGAGAATTTTATGGGGATGGTTTGGAAGATGTTTGGTTACATTTTACAAGGAGGATTTTTTGGAGGTTTGTTTACTTTCGTCGCGAGTGTCTTCGTCGTTTATTTCGACTTCATTTTTGGCTGATCAGGTGTTGCAGTGGGGATGAAGGCATTCAAATTCGCTTGAAAATGAGTCAAGGTATATACTTTCCCATTACCTTAACCCAGTATAAAAAATATGTCTGACTCCATGCGTGATTTTTCGTAATTACTTTATTGTTGAGATAATAAGATTACAGGTGTGATTAAATACTTTACGAGGGGAACGTTTAAAGGGCAGGTTCGCTCGAGTTAGGCACGAAGAAAGTGGCGAAATTACTAGAAATCATAGTACGCTAAATGAAAAGTATACGCACATCTGGTCACGTGTTTCGAACGTTTCACTCGGACGCCGAACGAATGTGGGTCAAGCGCGAAACTTGTGTTTATGTCGTCGACGCCGAAAGATCGTGTTTTCCTCTTTTTTCTCCTTCTGTCATGTCGATACCTTGGAAATGTCACGTGGACCTACGTGTAATCCTGCGTCTGTTTCGCGGTGTTGCAATAAAACGTTCCTCAAATTTCTGGTCTTACCTCGTAAAATCACTCGAGTCGAGCAAACTTTGCCAGTCCTCTCCTTAAACTGACATAACCTTGCAAACGCATTTCGCGACAGACGTTGATCGGTTTCGTTTATTCGAAATCGAACTATTCGTTGGAATTATTTACACGTGCACTTGATAAAATATTAAAATTTCACTCGTGCACTTTATCAAATATTAATAAAACCCAAGAAAAATACAGAATAAACTATCCGGAGGATTAACCCTTTCGTACATCTCATTTGAGTACCTTTATAAACATTGATTTTAATTCAGCGCCCATTACAGAAGAGATAATCACCAAATAAATAATAAATTCTTTAAAGAGACAATTCGGCCACCGAAAGGGTTGACAAAGGGTTAATCGACGTTCCAAGCTGGCTCCCACAAAAATCCAAAGAAATTAGCGATCTTCCCACTCGTTGAAATCTCCAGATGGCCCGAAAGGGAGCAAAGATACCCCGATATTCCTACGACGATCGAAAAGGCGCGTAAACATCGAGCACCGTTGGAAGAGACGTCTCTGGGTAGGCCAGAGTTGAGGTGCTGTTAAATGTGGCAATTTGTTGATAAAATAATCGCAACTGGACCGTCTTGTCTTCTACGGCCGGAGCCTATTTCAGGCAGGGCCGTGCTGCCCCCCTCGTGAGGCCACCCAGAACGATAAATCAAAGATTGGATTAAGGCAGTATACCCACGACGAGACGATTTGCACGTGGGACCTTTCTGGTCCCGTAATCACGTTTGCCGGCTGGCCAATTGTGACGAATTGCCAATTATTATTCGTGCCTCGTTCCTACGTGTACGACGGCCTCAAGATTTTTCTAGACCTCTGTTGTGCTTCCGTGGAGAGAAACTTTCATCGATCACGCACAGACGAGACCTCGTTCGTAAACACATTCTTGGTACGATCGTTTTTATCGTCGTTCGAACCAAGGATCGAGAGTACGAGGGACGATTCGTAGGGTTGAACGGTGTTTCGCGAGAACCGGAGGAATTCGGTGGATCTCGCGGCCGGATTAGAAGGTGTGAGTTACGGCCCTGGCTCTTAAGTTGACCGTATGACGTCGTCAAGTGAGTAATGCTCGTAATTCGAGCGACGCTATAAAATATTCGATTCAGAGCCGTAACAGACCCGTTGTTTTCGTGTTTCCCCGGCACATCCGCTGAGAACGCGTGCTTGAACTCGGAACAGACCGGCCTGAGGATCGCGAGGGTTCCAGTGGAAGTCCGCTCGCTTCCTTTCCTACCACCGTTTCTCGTCTGCTTTTGCTACAATTTCAGCTGAAAATCGAACGTTTCAGGCTTTCACGACACGCAGTGTAATCGTTATTTAGGCTCTCGGGTGGTAAGACGCGTCTCGTCTTTCGTAAGAATTGCAGCTCGCTTCGCGAAACACACTGATAACGGTATACACACTCTTACGACTGATCTGAACCGTCTGTAATCACGGTGACCCTTGAGTTTTTCACGAAGGAACGTCAACGAAGGAAAATCGTGTACCGTTGATTTCATCGATACGAGCTCGAGGAATCGAGAGATGTTTACGAGTAATAAACGTCTTCGACGGTATCACTTTTGTCTTATCGTTTAACCTTACGTTGTATCAGATGCATCGTGAGTCATATTGCGACTTTTACGCGTCTTTAACGCGGCACGCGGAAATTAAGATGTTTTGTTAGAAGAGAAACGACGATTTACTTTTCGAGTTAGGCTCGCTCAACGTACAATTTTTAGTAGAAATGTCGGTCATGATATACAGTTAACTTCGATTCGACTAGGATAATTAATGAATCACGAGTACTTCGTAGTCTTTGAAGGATAATTCTTCACCGTCGAAAGGAATGTAGAGGCATCCGTGGCTAGGTTGAACCTGTAACAATAAAAACGTTTACTTCGTCGAGATCTGCCGTTCTTCCGGTTTACGCTTCTTCTCTTCCGTTTCCTTCGCTGCTCTCTAACCAGTCTCACGCGACACACTGTCAATTTTAATTTAACAAACAGCGTGACATTAGGAATACGAATTTTCTACGCGATAAAAGGAACAGCAAACTCCGACCTTGCCGACTGTTTGGGATCCATTATGGAGAACACGGCCAACATACAGAGGTTCTCCATCGGTGGTCTGCCCTGCGATCACAGCATCGCTTGGGACTGATCCGTTGTTGCAGAACTCCCATGCGAATTCACCTTGACACAAAATCTGTCGGAAACAGAACGATTCGTTGAAATCTCGTACTCCGTAGAATATCGGAAAATAAATAAATAAAACGATCGTCGAGCTTGCGATTGTGAAAATCGCCTAAATGATCTGTGTCATCTCAAGGTATTTAGGGTTTTGTAGAGGTTTTCAACAACCCCTTCTCGATATTTTCAGATTTTCGGGCTATTTTGTAGAAATGAGTAAAGACTTTTCACCTAAATCACTTTCACCTGAACAGTTACGAGACACTCTCCACCGGTTCATCGATGTAAATACCGACAATTATTCAAATTAGTTCCTCACGAAGAGTACAAGAACCTCGATCGAACACTCGATACGACACAAAGAGACGTAGACTTTGATTTACGAGCTGTCTCGCTTTACGACGACGAATTGATGGATTAAGAGTCGTTTGAATAAAAAAAAAAAAAAACAATCGTCGATAATTTATTCACTTCTTTCTCCTGGTACTTTTCCTTTTCTCGCTTTTTGCTGTCTCATAAATCTAGATGATCGGATAATTTATTAGTTTCTTTTCTCTAGCTTTTTCACTTTATTCCATTTAATATTTTCTCTATATTTTTTGAAGGATCATCGCGTTGTATTTTCCTTAGCCTAAGGAGATCGTGAAATCGTGCAAAGCCATAGGTGCAAACTCTATTCCGATCCGCAACACGGCTTCGCCTTGACACGAAATCTCGATTCCGTGTTGCGAGTTAAGAAGTTTCTTCGTTACGTCGGCTGGAATTAGATTCGTTATCGAAAATACCTGTTACAATCGACAGAACGATCTTCGTTTACCAGCGCAGTCACTTCTGATACCTCGCAACGATCGATTTTCCCTACCCCACTTCTTTGGATAAAACGTGAAAGATAGCGGGAAGATAGTGAACATTTTCAGCCACGAGATTAGATTACAAAGAGGAATATACACTACCGGCCAAAAATTTCGAATCACCGAGCATTGCAATTTACATAAAAATTTCCAGAAAGAAGTCAGCGACTTTGAGAATTTCTTATCGTTCGAGTCAATTGATAAACGTAGAATTGAGATAAACTTGAAATCTATAAAAAATTAGCAGCAGATTTAATATCGATGAAAAGTGGGAGGTGATTCGAAACTTTTGGCCGGTAGTGTATGTATATACAGGTTAATCTGTGATTCGAATTGCTACTAAATTCGTTAAAATTAATCTTCGTTAAGTATACATATATACTGCTTCAAAGTGTTACTCGTTCATACCGTTTCTTGCAAATACGAATCTCGCGGATTTTATCTTTGACGATGTTTGAATTAAAAATGAGGAATCGCTGAATAAATAAACGATTCTGCCTTAATAAGTTAACTCATCTTTTCCAGGGAATCGTTTGAAACGCTCTTCGACACTTATCTCGCACTCTTTCGCGGAATAATTATTATTAATAAACGTGTTTAGTCAGATATTATAGTAGAACTCTTTCGTTCAGAAATTTCTACCATTTCGTGGAAATTAATTTCTCTGAAATTTGATTAAATCATCGATGATTGTTAAACGAGCTCGTTTACAGAAGAGCGATGTTCACCCTTTCGCTGCGGTAGATTTCAACGCGCAACACGGGTCACTGGCGGTAATTTCTTAACGAGGGTTGCAAAATTTCCTACTTTGGCCGTGTCGTTCTAAAATTCGGTTGACTAAACGAAGGTGCGAGTGCGTAAAGGATGAAACTAGAGTATCGAATTAAGGTGGAAGTGCGCTGAAAGGTTCCAAGTAATATTCGATAGTAACGAAAGGGTTAACGAGAGGATACGTTACTTTTCGCTGTATACACACCTCGTAATCGTGTTTCGGATGCTCCTCGCCGTTGTGACACACGTAAGCTACGTTTTTATCGGGGATCACTTTCGCTGGGAGCATGTCACCTTCGTGGAAGGCTCTCCCGACGAAAATCGTGCTTCCGTCTACGTCGCGGCCACCTTGGACCGCGGTTTCCGGCAAACTTTGCCCCGACGTACGGCTGACCCACCTGTAAGCTTCGATAAAAACGATCTATTAGTTTGCATATCTGAGGAAAGAAAATACACTCGTATCAGGGGGTGTGGTGAAATTATCTTTTCCGGTGAAGTAGGTAGATATGTTGGAAGGAAAAGAAATCAGCGAGGTTCTATAGAAAAGAAGTTCGATTAGAAGACAGATAGGAACGTTTCTGGATAAAGTAAAATTTCGTGGTTGATTAGTGCTCTGTCGATAAGATTTATCGAGAAGCAAATTTCTCCGCTGATAAGACGAACAGGAAATGAAAAATTTGCACTATGCACTCGTTGTAATGTTTTTGTTCCATTTTATTCGTAATTTGTGCTTGGAAATTTTGTAATTTAATGTTGGAAATCTGTGAAGTTAATGTTTACGTTAATGATAAATCGAACAAATTTGTAAATAATTAAAGGGAGATTTAAATTTTGTAAACACTGCTTGGAACGTTTGATAGGAATAATTTGCGATGTTTAAATAAACGTTGGAACCAAACGTAAAATCACACCACTTACCTGGCATCTTGTGACCTGGTACGAGTGAAGTTTCAAAAACGAATGATGCTTATCTTATGCCAACACCTGATTAAAAGCAGCTGTAATCTTATCATATAGTTGTTGCAATATTTGTGTTCTGTTTAAACGACACAAGAGCAGGTATTTCTTGGAATATAGGATAAAACGATTTGTCGTATCGTTTTTTGGAAGTATTCCTTATTGACGGAATGAGTTTCGATGACTTAACGAGGTGTAGTACAATTTTTAAACATATCGAACGGTTATCAGTTATTGACCAATTTATTGCTCGTGTATATTAAAATGTACAGTTAACGGTAACTATTTGCAATTCTTCGATTTCTTCGATCGTAATCAATTATCTTACATACTTCACTGTAAATTCATGTTTATTATTTTTCTACATAATTTACATTCGACAGATATAACACGCAACGCATCGTAAAACTGACCGACGATAAATCTCTTCTCGTTAATTGCATTGTGTACAGATATTACTTTGTTTACTTAAATAAAAATACAAATTTTCTTTATAAATAATACCGTAGGTTAAAATATATTCCTGCATATTGGACACGTGGACTTTTGGCTCGTGCTGAACCATTTGTACTGAAAAGAACAACGAACACTTGCAACATTATTTCCAACAAGTTTGAAATTATAAAAGGAGCTTACCAAACATGCGGTGTGAAACTTCTTGCGACACGTGTGACAGGATAATTTCGGTATTTGATACGTGTTTATGTGAAAAATACTGAAACATATGTAACACTCTTCCACACCGGCGAACTTCTTGTCCAAGTTTCTTTTCCATAATGCAAGCCCGTCCCATACCGACCCATTCTGTAGAGAAAGTGAACAGAATGAAAATTGTAAAACGTCGATGCATCGAACGACCGAACGTTTGTATCTTTGGTAAATCATTACTTGGTGTGTGAGAAATATGGACAGTTGCATGTGACAATTCCGCCAATTGGCGGTTCCACCTGCGTGTTGTCCAGGTTCAACCGTGATTGGTCCCAAAGGATGATTAGATGGCAATACAATATTCAGTTCCAATTTTGTGTCGTCCATTTGGTACAGTGCGACAACTTCGCGGAATGTCGGATGAACTTTCACTTGCATGTTCTCGATATTTTGCAGTTTGTTGTTCAAAAGCTCTTCCTGACAGAGCATAGGGCTAACGTAATGCGTTGTGATCTTGTCCACTGCTGCACTCACTCTACTGTCAGCAGTGCTCCACCATTGTCTCACCAAAACTGGTAAATGCCTTAAGCTGTTTGTGTATAGCCAACATACTATGTGATCCAGCTTCCATTCTGTCCAACTTTCTGTGAAACATTGGGTGTAAATTGAAGAGTGTTGAAGGGAAATTTAAGGTATAAATTACAAACGTATCAAAGGGAAATTTAATGCAAGAGATAGAAAGGACGTTAGTACCGCCAAAGTTTAGAGAAGGTTCTGTAGAAAATATTTCTAGCAACTTTGCACCCTTGTTCTTACTGTCCTGAAGCACTTCCACCGGCATTAGCCTGAATATGTTATTTAACAAACTGGGGAAAAAGTTATCCCTGAAATATATACATACATTTTATTATACAAAAAATGTATACCAATGTCAAGTAAAAAAGAAATTACATACTTTAGTATCTCAGCGTACTGATAGAGTAAATCTCCATGAGCATTCGCGCACATGTCCAAAATGATAGCCCAAGATAGTAAATATCCCACTGTATAAGTGTATGAGTCTGTGTATGGTTGAATAGTACAACTCACGGTACCGCACAATCTACAAAAATATTTCTTAATTAATACATTGTTTCCCATACAAAAAATTAGCTGAACACATACTTGAAGTCTATTAAAATAGCATTGACGATGTTTTGCGTATTCTGAAGTACATCTTCAATTTTTTTAATGTTCAGAGCACTCAAGTCAGCGTTCTCCACTTCTACGATAGCTTTGTCTTGTTGCACAAGCTCTGGTACCGCGTGTTTCAACACATGATATGCACCTAATTGTATACTAGCTACAGGAGACTGAAGTAATTTCAAGGACAGATTGACAGATGTTACGAGAGATGGATTTGATTCATTGGTGAAAATGATACTTCCATTCAACATCTTCACAGCTTTGCCCAGATGCTCTAACAGTACAACAGGTTTCAAAGCTATTATCTTCTCGTTGTAGGAATCTGTAATATACAGTTTAGTTATAAATTGCAACAATAAAGAAAGTCGGTAGTTCTTTAATTGTACATGTACCTGCATACAACATCCAACATTGAATAATTCCACTTTGTATATCACTTACAAAAACATTTTTCCATTCGTCCAACAATGTTGGTGACATGTCTGCTATCTGTTCTTGTTCATGCTTGTTAATTAAACTTTGAACCGCATGGTAAAGCTGGCAAACAGCTACTGTCAATGTAGATACCTGCAATAAAAGTAGATGGATATTTTTTCAAATAATTAAATCTAAATAATCAGGCAGATACCTTGAAATCATTGGCATTTTGTTTAGATTTTGTGATTGAAAGTTGCCACAGGACCAAAGATATTAAAATAAAGTTCCAATGTTCGTATTTTAATTTGGATGGAACTTTTTCCACAAGTTCTGTCAATAATCTTATAAGTTCCAAAGGTAAATTCAACTTTTCCCAGGACATTTCAGAAATATCACTGCAAGAGAAATATAAATGTATATTTTCTGTCTGGTTTGTGTATTTCATAAAATTTTACCAACTAAGATATTACCAATCAAGTGCTAATAATGCAGGATTTTCCTTCTCGTAAGATATTATTTTTTCCAAAATATCAGAATATTTAGAACTGTCTTCTTGCTCGATTAACACACTCCTTGCTGCTAGTAACGCATAAATATCATCATCCATTGACGTTGAAATGTCTTCCACGTTTTGAAATTTAGATAGAATCTAAAATAAAATTCTCTGTCCTTGTACAAAATTCTAAATAAAGTAAGTGTAAAATTAACGATGTAGTACCTGTACACTTTGAATAGTTATTGCTTCATTTATACCAAGTATATCGTTGCTTTTACAATTTTCAAATAATTTCCTAGCTTCACTGTTGGGACATAATTCAGTGCAACAGAAACGTATTACATATATCAACATACTTCCATACTTTGTATAATTCCTGAAAATATAATCAAACTTAACAACGCTCCATTACAAAATTTAAACAATAAAAAGAAGTACTCACATTTTTATGTAATCAAGAACCTCGTTAAACGTATCTTCGTTAACGTATCTTTGCAACTCTTTGAAACTATCTTCCACAGTCAGCAAAGTTTTGTTCATATTGCTATAGTTCTTAGTCTACGAACAACGAATCAAAGTTAACTATTTACCAAGATTAAATATTCCTACATGACGAACTACGATTCTACTTACAGATTTATAATAATTACAGTAAACTTGTCCCAAAACAATCGAGTATGCAACGTTAATTATCAGATTTGTGATTCCTGGCAGATCCAAGTATTGTATCAACAATTTCTCAGAGTTGAATTCTTCCAATTCAGTCTCATTAGCTGATCTCAAGCACAGATTGTTCAACAAATTGATATTGAACAACGCCCATTTTAAACAATTTTCAACATTATCCGTTACTGTATTATCGGTCAAATCGACGGACCTACATTTCTCGTGAATTCCTATGTTCTGATCAAGATTCGGCACGTACAGTTTACCAGTTATCACTTCACCGTACATAATTATCCCAGTTGCTTCCGCTGTCCACGTTGTTATGTTAGAATCGATTAAAAACGTTAAAATAATCTCTTCCGCGTAATCTTCCCTCGTACAAGCTTCGTCGTTGATTATAATCTCCAGAAAATCAACCGCAATGTCCACCAACATTTCTCTGTTATGTTCCTCATTTCTGCAAAAGTATCTTCCGTACAACAAATCTAAGAAAATGATAATTTACAAGTGACAAAGAAATTTTCTTACGAATGATATATTTTTCCCCACATCGAAGTGGCGAATTTTTTAGTCATATCGATGAACTCAGATCGCGAAAGTTTCCGAATAGCTTCGAGAAGTCCCTTCTTCCACACATCTCGCATCGTGTCCATAAAGGCAGAATTGTTGCTCAAGTAGTTCTGCGAGCGTAATTCGAAAAGTGTCTCCAAGATTTGTACAGCTCCGACTACACTTTGCTTGTAAGTCCACGTTAACGGAACGATACGAGAGATCAACTTTGCGAAATCTAACAAACACGTCTCGTCTATCTCGTGGAACGAATTGCACAGAACTGATATAATTTCTATCACACCCTCTTCTTGTATCAACAAATCTAAAAGCGTACGTAAATTATTTATCAGTCTCACGTTAATAGGACCGTAATTGGATTAAATATGAGAGACTTACTGCCATCGTCGAGAGGCTCCAACGCTAACAAAATAAGATTCTGATTCTTTTCGAGATCAGAATAATTGCCCGAGGCAATCTCCTTCGCTACATCTATCAACAAACTAGTTATATTTGACTGTGAACACCATTTCTTCACAATATCGTCGTTTCTATGTTTCTTAGACAGCGCACACCGCACGATACTCCTTGTAATTACCGTCTCATCGAACTGAAAATAAAGAAAAACTTGCAATAAACAATTACACATACTTCCATAAAAATACATTAAAAAAAGCACGTTTCTTACTTCTTTCAGAGACTCCAAAATTTCGTCTCTTTCAGGCTCACTCATGTACTTCATTAGATCGAACAATTCTATTATAGTTAACTCTATTATATGCTCTGTTTCCTCCGATTGTTCCCTCAACAAGTTTCGTAAAATGGTGTTATAGAAACTGGGGAAGTTTATTTGCGTTTTGAGAAATTCGGACAGATTCTTCGAGAGTCCCTCGCTCTCGAAGCACGTCAGAAGCTTGTACAAGTACACGACGTATTTTTTCGCGCCTTGTTCGGTGATTTGATTGAAATATTTCACGCAGAGGGAATTGACGAAATTTTTCAATTCGCTGAGAAACTCAGCGTCGATCTCGTTTTCCGTGTTTTCTACCCGAGACTGTGTCGTGACGTTCTCTTCCGGGTTGCTGAATTTCACCTTTAAATTCTTTCGACCGTGTACAGGCACCGCCTTCAAAGTGAAGAGAAATTCTATCTGAGAGTTATTCGTATCTATGGTATTGAAGGTTTCGGAATTTTTGCTAGCGTCTACAAGTGAAGTGAAGAGAGCGTCGAGCTCTTGCCAGAACAGTTCTATCAAGTGAGAATAAGACTCGAAGCCTTCGTTGCGCCGATTTTTACTCCAGTATCGTACCAAATCGGTTATTTCGCAGAAAAGTATTTGCTGCAGAGGATCATTCTCTTTTAGACACATTTCTATCACTGGTATAAGCTGAAATAATTAATAATTTTTCTAAGGAGAAGGATACAATGTTTGTGTAAATTTATGGATAATGTAGGAACCTGTTCTTTGAGCAGTGCGCTGCTTAAATCTTGATTATTAACATTCAGAAGAAGAGAGTAACGCAAACATTCGGCGAACGATGTGGTTACCGCGAACATCTCTGAACGGCTGGTTTGTACACTTTTAACGAAAAATCTGAAAGAGTAAATTGGTGTGTTTTTATCTTCTTCAAAGTGTATCCGAGAAATGTGTAATTCGATTAATTGATTAGATACCCTTGACGCATATTTGTGAAGAAATTTATGTACAAGTAATGGGGATCAACGTTTAACTTTGGAAATTGACTAATAAATGGTAACAAATTTGGGTAAACGATACTGGGGCAAGATTGTCCTCCGCTTCTTAGAACGCGCCATAATTTCGGTAGTACTAGCTTTTCTATGTTTACTACAGTGTACCAGTCCTGAAAGAATAACGTTAAAAATTATAATTTATAATTTTTTTTAACATTGTAAATTTATCGTTTACCTCTATCTTGGTTATTGTAACAAGCATAGATTCCCATACAGCTGACAATAACGCAGGCTCTGTTTCATCAAGACTGTTCATGATAGTTGTAACAGCCCTCTTTTTCTCATCTTGCAACAGTACAGTAGCATTCTCAATAATTGATGTTAATACATTAAAGAATGCCGTTTTAACTGGTAGAGCATCATATTTAACTAATTTCCAAAATTTATTGCTGCTTATTATTTTATTGTGAATATCGACCATTCTCTCAATTTCTTGAGTAGGAACTTTCTTTAAATACACACTGTATCCTAATAAACTGGCTATCAGCACCCTCTGATATTTTGCCTCCATTTCCTCTGGAGTAACATTCCTAATGGTACATAAAGTCATATGATAAATTAACATCCTCTTACAATTTTCTAATAAAACGAAATTATATAAAAACATACTTTTGTACAGATAAAGTCTGTGGAGTATGGATAGTAATGTTATCACAGATGTATGTCAAGATTTCACATTGACAATGTACTATAGCATCGATAACTTTTTTCTGTGGAAATGTATCCTGTTTTTTTAGAAAAAGAAATTGTATTAAAAACTAGTTTGAAGATTTTTCATATTGAAAAATCATCGATCATTTACATTAAACGAATTGGTAGCAGCTGATGCAGCAGGAGGATATGTATCATGTTGTGAAGTGAACCAAGCTCCTGCTACTTGTTTCAAATACATTGCAATACCTTTGCCTACACGTTTAACAACAGCTGCATGTGCTACTTGTGCACTTTCTCTTACTCTGTGTTCTACATCTATTGCTAAAGCACAGTACAACCGTGGCCAAAATGGTAGCATTCCCTCCACAGCTGATGATTCTGACTCTTTGCACATAACAGCAAATTCTTGTAAGGCCTGAAAATATGATCTTTTAATTACAATATTTCTTTTCTCTTATGCACAGTGGCAGAAATTGTTCTTTACCTTGCATTTTGTTGTTGTATCTTTCTTGTTCATTTTCTTTAATACTATCTGAAAATTACTATCAACATTGTTCATTTCAACCTCATTTGTGTTGCAAAATGATAGACCTGGTAACACAGGCACATATCCCCCATCTTTCACAGCTGAGAAACCCACAAAATTTGGTATCGAGGTACCCAGAAGTTCAGCACTTCTGCTGCTGTTTGATGGCTGCAAATAATGTGTAACAATAATTATTGAATTGAATCCTTATTGTTATCTATTGTTGCACGTAAGAATGATAGTAAATTCAGATTAAAGAAAATTCTGATAAGAATAAAATGTAACCTATTGCTCTGGTTGTATCGTAAAAAGTAATTTTTCCTATTAATACAAATTATTTATTTACCCTCGCATTATTTTTCGTTCGCTGCGCTTGTTTGTTCTTCCCCATGATAATTACATGAACAACGAGAAATTAGAAATCCTGAGATTGTATATAAATTTTCCTTACTCAAGTTTTACACCATTACCACGTTTGTAACAGCTGATCTATCAATGATTGTGTTTTAAGTGAACATGTTTCTTTTCAACCACGATATGCTTCTTTATTATCTACGGAAAAATTGAAACAAATCGGAGCATAATTTTTCTCTCTCCGTGCACTTTAACGGTTACCACTTTGTTAAAGAATAATATGTATGAAAATTTCGTTAGACGTTTTAAAGAACGAAGGTATAACAAAACACGATGATATATCGGATAAAACTAGCATTATATCGAGTACTAAATTGAGAAGGATTATTTCATTTAACGCCAAGTAAGAGATTATTGAACGTATAGGTAAATGTGACTTTATATTCCCGGTAATAGGGACACGTTTGAATTTTCCATTGCAGGTTAAGAAAATAAAGATGAGTGTTGGAAACAAATTAGGTCAGAGGTTATTGTTGTCATATTGTTCGTTTACTTGCATTTACTTTCCTGGAATTCTGATATTGCTAAAATTAAACGACAACCTGTACAATGTGGGAAAGTACAAATTCATTCCAGTATTATTGATTCTGCTATTCGCAGAAGTGGTGAAATTGATGTTCCCTATGTTCCATTCTGAGCCATTAATTATAACAAAAACTGATTCAAGGGCATCTTCAAGATCTAGAAGAACATGGTCCAAATATGTGAAGGAAATCTTCAAATTTCTATTAGCTGGTTTTCTATTGTCTGTTGTGTATTATATTGTGATTATACTGTTTGGTGCACCAGTGTTCATGCATCATGAGGAAACTACCATGCTCACTGCCACATTGACTACTCTAACATTTGTTCCTGCAAGTTTGCATTTAGGTGTGGATGGTGCATTAGAGATTATAACTGGGACACAGTCACAGAAGGGCAATGTTCTGGTAGATGCTATAAAAACTAATATTCAAGCTACACTTTTGGGCACTTGGTTGGGTGCTATTGTGATTCCATTAGATTGGGATCGACCATGGCAAGTCTGGCCAATTCCATGTGTATTGGGTGCACTTCTTGGATACACAGTTGCACATTTTATTACACTTGCAAAAACATTACCAATGTTGAGATTAGGTAAAAAGATTCACAGATAAGCATCGATAAAATTGAATGCCATAAATTTCCATCATTTTCTACATCTAGTAATTTATTCCCATATTTAATAAACCGATCTCTTGCACCTTAGAATAAATAATTCTTGTTATCCTAGTCTACCTTGTATTTTGAGTGATAAGAATTTTTTATATACACGAATTTTCTTGTATTTTATATAATGTAACATGTAAAAATGAATTTATGTGAAAGGTACAGAAGATACCTAAAAGAAATAAACGTTGTTTCACTGCAAAACAAATTTATCTATCAGAGAAGTCATGTTAGGTCATATTACATAAGGCTTCTAATATAACGACGAAACTCGATAATAATCGAGATGAAAATATTGTACGATCTAAACTTTGTTAATAAAGATTTATCACGATCTCCTTATTGAAAGATTGTGATTAATGAATTACATAAAAAAGAATCAGTTTTTTATCATTTCGAAACCACGATTATCGTTCCTATTTTAATAATTACAAATGTATATTTTCAGGCCATAATTATTTCTTAATAAATTTATCTTTCTGTGTAAGAATTGTAAAGTTCTTTTATTTATTTCACGTGGAAGGATATCGTGTGAAAATTAAAGTTACCGTAGTTCAGTTGCGAACAAATTTATTTGAAGCGTATAAGAAATGATTTATTTAATACACTTATCAATTATTTTGTAAATTATAAATTTCATCAAAATTAATTTATCCTGTACGTGAATCATAAGATGCAACATCCTAAGCACCAGATGTCAGTACTATTAGAATAGCACTGCGTGCAAATCGCGGCCTTGAATTTATTTCGTTTTATCTCTGAACGTATCGTGCCGGGTGTTCAGAAAGATTAACGTTAATTGTAGTGTTCACTCAGTGTCCTCTAGTTTCCTAAATCGTCGATACATAATTCCACTCGTTAATTATGTCGGATACTGCTGGAAAGGTACGTATTTTTTTAAGATAAATTATTTTATCTCATTGTTGCGGCTATTGAAATTAATTCACGTATTGTTGAAGTATCAAGCCGGTTACATCGGACGTATCCTCAATTTTTTCAAAAGAATTACGAATTACGTTACTTCGATAGTCTTCGATGATGAGTTTTACTAGTAAAATACTAAATTTTTCGTACGTTAGGTAATCAAATGTAAAGCTGCTGTAGCTTGGAAGGAGAAGCAACCTTTGTCATTAGAAGAGATTGAGGTGGCACCTCCAAAAGCTCACGAAGTGAGAATTAAAATTACAGCTGTGGCTTTGTGTCACACCGATGCATACACTTTAGACGGGTTAGATTCTGAGGGAATTTTCCCATGCATTCTTGGACATGAAGGTAGTGGTATTGTTGAAAGTGTTGGAGAAGGAGTTACAGAATTCAAACCAGGTATTTTCTTATTATTATATGTATTAATCACAAGGTACGTTATCGAATGATATCATTTACCATAATTTAAGGTGACCATGTAATCCCATTGTACATTCCTCAATGTGGGGATTGTAAATTCTGCAAATCACCAAAGACAAATTTGTGCAGCAAAATCCGTACTACACAAGGCAAAGGTCAAATGCCCGATGGTACTTCTAGATTTACTTGCAAAGGCCAGACCCTTGCTCATTTCATGGGTTGCTCTACTTTCTCTGAGTACACCGTAGTGGCAGATATTTCTCTTGCCAAAGTACTTTCTATTATTCTGGATATTCCTACTGTCAAGGTTGATAATCATTGTTAAAAAATATACATTATATCACTCAGATTGATCCTGCTGCACCTCTTGACAAAGTATGTCTGTTGGGCTGTGGAATATCTACCGGATATGGTGCTGCTCTGAACACTGCCAAGGTTGAACCTGGTAGTTCATGTGCTATATGGGGACTGGGTGCAGTTGGACTAGCAGCTGCACTTGGTTGTAAAAAAGCTGGTGCCAAGCGTATAATTGGAATAGATGTGAATCCAAGTAAATTTAAGCAGGGTAAGATAAGAGAATTTACTGATAAGAAATTTTTGGAAGAACAGGCTTTATAAAAATTCAAAAATCATTTAGCTAAAACTTTTGGATGTACCGAACTCATTAATCCTAAGGATCATAAAAAACCAATTCAGGAAGTGTTGGTAGAATTAACCGATGGTGGATTAGACTATACTTTTGAATGTGTTGGTAATGTAAATACTATGGTAAGTTAGAATTATTGAATCTCAACGAATTAACAGGACAATTTTACCGATTTCATTAATAAAAAAATATTTTCTGGATAGAGAGCTGCATTGGAATCTTGTCATAAAGGTTGGGGAACATCCGTTATCGTGGGTGTCGCTGCAGCGGGTCAAGAAATCAGTACACGTCCATTCCAGTTGGTAACTGGACGCGTCTGGAAAGGAACCGCATTTGGCGGCTGGAAGTCTAAGGAGAGTGTTCCTAAACTAGTAAAAGAGTACATGTCGAAATCGCTGCTTCTCGACGAATTTATTACACACACTCTTCCATTTGATAAGATTAACGAAGGATTCGATTTGTTGCACTCAGGCAGCTGGTAAGTATGAATAAAGTATCTACAAGGTATTATTTATTATTCCTCTTTCGTTAAAATTAATCTTTTCTTTCATTGTAGCTTAAGAGCAGTACTGAAGTACTGAGAAAAAAAATAAACATATTAGTACTGTGTACCAATTTTGATACTCTTTGTACACCCACTATGGTTGAAACACGTTTACTATTTTGTAATACTTTTTTCAAATAAAGATAATATATTTCTTCGTATATATATACATATATATGTATGTATGTATAATTTTTCTGTGTCCCTGTAATTAATTAGGATAAAATTGAGAGCAGCCCCCAGATTTCTACAACAATCTTTATTCATAAAGAATTCTTACAGCCACATGTACAATACCAATTTGGTGAAATATTAATAGTAGCTCTGGAATGAAGTAAAAATTCTTTACGCTTTTTGACCAGGTGCATACCTTACAAAAATCATCACGGTACGAAGGATCATAGACGATGATTTTCCAATTGTATATAATTATGTATATACAATATGCAAGACTTTCGGTAAAACTATGTATGTTTGCTTGAAAGTTAATATGCTTGTTAATCTAGGTCGACGGTACAATAATATAATTCAGGCGGAATATAAATTGCGCTCAACGTAGCAAAGAGTATACACGTTAGTTAATTAATTCGTTAATTAATTCATTCATCGCGGACGAGGTTCCCGTTTAAAACGCCATGTAAGTTCACAAATGGCACGGTGAATTTCTACGAATTCTCATCTCTTTTTCACCTTACTTCGAAATGTTTCAAAAGAGTGTCGCGGTACCTGTTATCTTCGTTAGAATGCGAAATATTGGGACAGTTTTTTCTTCTCGATCGTGAAATAAAAAGAAACGTTGTTAGAACTTATCATCCTCGGGTGTTAAGTTACGTCTTACAATGTTTTTCTTCTTCTTCTCTGATCGATGAAACAACACATAATCGATCCAAGTGTCTTTTTCAACGGGCAAAGAAATACAGACGGGGTAAATCTTGCTGTTCTTAACAACAATATATAAGTACTGAAACTTTCAGAGTTACATGTATCTCTAATTAATAATACACCGGAGCGCTAAACGGTCCGAACTAGAAAGAACACGTTAAAAAGTAAAATGGTATCCTAGGCTTAGAAACTGAATCTCCATGTTGTTCGTTCTAGATGAAGAGATACGTATAATCTGCACTGGCTATTCCTACGTAAATTGCCTTCTAATACTAGGGCATATTCACATAGTCACACCGATCAGTTTTCTACGGATTACATGTTATAATTCTAATACCTACGGTGTACCACACACTCGTTAAGTAAAAGTCGTTTAAGTAAAAATGCTTATAATTACAGTAAACGCAGACGAATCACGACGCGATGGGTTCGACATTTTATGAAGAAATGTTCCTCCTAAATTCTATCAGAATTACAGTAAGATTCTCAAGTATAAAAGAAAAAAGAACGAATCAAATTTTTTTCCAACTTAAAAGAATTCACGATATACAAAGATTTCGACAATCGACATTAAGAAAATAATTTTCTCCTTTTTCCCCTCGAATCGTCGTGATTGAACTGCGGCTCAGTAGTTAGCGAGTATGAAATAGGTCATTCTTTTATGCATTATATCTTACACTAAACCTCGCAACGCAAGATGGCTACGAGAGAAAAGAAAACAAGAAGAAATAAAGAAAAGAAAAAAATGAAAGGACAGTAGTTAGAGAGAGAGAGAGAGAGAGTAATCTCGTATTTAGCGCGAAGAGAAAATAAATAAGCGTGGCGTGAAAAAATCTATCTCAGCTGTCGGCGTTACTTTTATTCTTTCTTCTTTTTTCCTTGTGTAAGAATCAGCGAAGGTGCTTTTATACGAGAGAGCTCAATTAAACCTATTTACTCGTGACTCGGACCTATGCAAATACTCTTTCTCTGTTTTTAATATTCTACGTCTCGAAGCGTGTGTACGTGTGTGTGCATCTCTCTAAGACTCTGTGTGTGTTTGTGTGTGTTATAAACGCGTTTTATCTTCACGTTTATATGCTTGACGATCAGCCGGGTTTTCTCTCTCAGCCAGCTTGTCTTCGTCCGCTGTATTATCGTAAGTCATAGACAGTATTATATATATATATTTATATGTATATTTATTAATATATATATATTATGCTTAGACATAATTCGAGATATCGTTAATCTAACGCGGTTAGAAATCATAATTATATAGAGCATTCTTTTTCATTTCTCATTTTTTCTTCTTCTTTTGTTTTGTTTTGTATCTCTTCTTGGCTGAAGATATCGTAATCTCTATGCGTCGTGGAGTGGACATGTGAATTTTACCCGATGGAGGATGAGCTTCTTCTCCTTCTTCTTTCTTATTCACCTCGTTCCTTCCTCTATCTCGTCGTCAGTATCTTTCTTTCTTTCTTACTTTCCCCTTTCTCGCGGAAACCTCTAGCTTTCTTGTTTTGTATACGCATAAATAGTATATAATTATATTATTTATTTACGAGTTGTGCATGGAGGTACCTCGACGGGCACACAGGGTAAAACGTGTCTCTGGCAGAGGAGATACATCGTCCTCCTCCTCCTCCTCCTCTTCTCGAACACGTCGACGTAATCTGCAAGGTCTTCGATTAGAAATTAGAGCGTCAACACGATTAGATTGCACGACGGTGTTTCTTTTTTTTTTTTTAAGACCCATCGGCTATTGCACTGTACAAGCTTTCTATACGGTTCCCTGATTCAGCAGCCGCTTAACCCGTTTGGCACTTGTGTTCTCGAAACAGATCAGAATTTCATTTAAGGTTTACACACATCTACGTCAGTTCGTGAAACGAAAGGAAAATAACCTGTGTACGGACTGTTAATATCGGTTAATCGAATTCAAGATCGTCTACGACGATGAAAGGAAGTGTGTGTTGTACGGCACAAGTATGAATTAAGCGAAGGTTTAAAGGAACGGCGGTTAAAATCGGGTTAAGGATCGTTTAAAGAAGGACCGATCGTCGACAAAGAGGACGCAAATTTTGTTTCATGGACGTTCGGGCGCGACCACGATGCCAGACGGTATATATTAACGCTGCCTCGTGTCACTCTCTCCGTCAATTCCCTGCTT